CAGGGGTTATGGACCTCTGGTATTAGGCTAGAGTCTTGATTATGAAGTGAAATTTGCATTAATTCTTAAAAATCTTCTCTGTCCATGGCCTGGCTATAAAAAACATTTCATTATTATTTCTAAACAAATTTGATTTTGAAATTGTGGATGTATATTACTACAGCTACATATTCAAAATTGTTATTACATGTATTGCTTACAGCTGCAAAAAATAATGTTACATTACCGCTACTCTCAAAAAATATACATGACTGCTACAATGCCTCTTTCATAAGTCAGTGGCTGTACAGGTTGATTAAAATGGTTTTTTATCTCCTATTATAAATGGAACTTCTATTCAGTGGAATTGCTGGTAGATTTGATATGAAGCTGTGATGATTTGTTATTGGCAAAAATCTTATTGATAAAAGAAAGCAGTGATGATTTGACAACACTATTTAAAGATTTGTGATACATACCGGTACTCATGTGAATGTTAAGGCCCTTGGGCCTCTTGTTATAAAGATATTTTAGTTTCAAAATATTTTTTTTTTATTTAACAGATACCACACCGCTAGATACCAAGTCAGTAGAGAAGAAAGAGGAAAATTTAGAGGAAACTGAAGACAGCCCTGTCAAGCTGCCATACACAGGGAAGAAAAGGGGAAGAAAACGAAAAGAAGAAGGTACTTTATACTTTCAAAGGGGGAAGGGGATAATCAGTCCAACAGGAAGAGTAATGTTTTGACAAAATATTTTTTATGTAAAGTGGAGGTAATACCTGTTTTAAAGAAGTAATTCATGATATAAATTCTTAGTTTTGTATGTAATACATGTATAAACCTTTCTCTATGAATGAAAAAAAAGTTAATTTACTGATAAGTGTGTTCAATGTTACAGTGATCTACACAGAAGAGGAGACAGACAGTAGCTCAGGGGGAATCAGGAGAAGCAGTAAGTGGCTCTATATCTATACAGGTGTTAACAAATATCAGTCAAAATGATACAAAACACAAATGGGAAAATATATTGTTACTTTAACCACTTTTTTCAAAAATGAATTATAGATGCAACAAAAATTTTATTTTAAGATTTACGACAGAAATTCTGAAATCTGAATACAGTTATTTTTGCTAAGTATATCACACCTCAGTGCACTTGCTCCAAATATACATCTTGTTTTAGGTCGACCAGTAAAGAAAAAAATAAAAGAATCTCTTGGTTATGCCCCACCTAAAGAGAAAGGGAGACGATCTGGAATTGGAACTGAGGACCTAAAGATCAAAAAGGTACCACTATATAAAGGCACTGCCAAGGACAAAGAAAACAAGGAATTGGAAACAGATGAAGATGAGACTGAAAGAGATATAGCAGATGAGTTAATTTCGTTGTCAAATAACGAAGCGAATGAAATGGCTGGTAATAGCAGTGACAATGAGGAATCAAATAAGCTAGTGTGCAGCAATTGTGGATTTTCTGCAGATTCCCAAGAAGTGATGGAGAATCACATCCGAGTGGAACACCCCAAAATATGGGCTCAGATCCTGATTGATGATACCAAAATCCTGCTAGCTCTTGGTAAAGATCCTTTGAAGGTGCAGAGGCCAAAATGTGATGATACAACACTGAAGAAAGAGCCACCAAAGGAAAAGAAAGCAGAAGTTTTAAAAAAAGAGACCACCACTAAAGCACCTGTTGTGAAGAAGAAGAAATTGCCACTGGAACACAGATCATCTGGTCACTATAGCTGTACTGTGTGTCAGAAAAAATATAAAACCATTTGTTTACTTAACGCTCACATGGGTTTGATTCATAAAGATAAGAGGTATGCCCAGATAAAGAGAAGAAAAGAATTGATAAAATACAAACAGAGATTGATAGCCATGAAGAAGAGAGAAAAGACAGAGGACAAAGAAGAGAATAATACAGCAGACACAACAAAGGAAGATGAGGAAGGTGAAGTGAAAGAAGAAGGTGAAGGTAAAGAAGGTGAAGACAAGGAGGGTGTAAGTGAGGAGGAAGAGGGGGTGAAAACTCAGGTAAAAGTGGAGAATGTGAAGGTTAAGACCGAACCTATTGAAGAAGAAGAGGAGATTAGGAGATCGAAGAGGTCCTCACGGAGGAAATCCAGAAAACTGGACGATTACGAAACCGATCTGCCAGAGCTGTACGGGTCAGATAACGAGGAGGAATTAGACATGAAGGCCCATTATGATGAACCTAATGCCTGTACTCTCTGTCTGAAAGATTGTGGAAGTGAAAGTGGATTAGCTGAACATCTGAAGAAAACCAAGCACGACGAGATGAAAGTAACTCCTTTTCCTTGCTTAACCTGTAACCGTTTTTTCCTGACAATGAAGACCCTGGAGCTTCACATGACACAATCTGGTCATATGGGAGAAGAGATGGGTAGTTTGGATGGAGAGATTGAAGTCACCAGGCAAACTTCCATGTCCAAGCGGGGGATTTTATTGTACATTTGTTCCCTCTGTAAGCGTGAATTTGTCAAAAAGGAGAACTGTGTAAGTCATTGTGCAATGAAAGTCTGCAAAAAGCCTTGGAAAAAATCTTGTCCAATAATGACTTGCAAGAAAATGTTTTTTGAAAACAACATGTTTTTCCACCATATGACAACAGAACATAAAGAGGAGTTTCCATTTGTGTGCCCAGTTCAAGGATGTAAGCGACTTTTCTTCCACACAGCAGCCTTGAACTCCCATATAGCAGCACACAATTCTGAGAAGGATGGCCATTTTCCACCACCTAGACCTATAGAGGATGGCAGGAAGAGATGTGGTTACTGTGGCATGTTGTTCACCTACAATGAAAACCTGCGTCAACATGTCAAGAGAATTCATGATAACGAATTATTTGGACAGCACAAGGAAATCGTCGAGCATAATCAAGCCGCTGAACCATTCTCATCAAATAAGAAATTTCTGAAAGTGGAGTCTCAAAGTGGAGGTAAAGCTAAGGATACAGATGATGTGGATAAAATAGATACCTTTAAAAAGATGGACAAGCGGCAAGTTACCATCCGCAATCACGTCAAGGGGAATGAGTTCAAATGCTACACATGTGACGAGACTTTCAGTCATATTGATGATGTTGGTGACCATATGGTGGACACTGGTCATTGTGGACTTCCATTAAATGCCCTAGATGGCAAGAGAGACCTCAGAATCAAAATACGTAACACAGGGGAACAGTACTATGTTTGCACTCTCTGTAAAATGGAATTCAAGAGAAAAGATGGGTGTGAAAAACATGTTGAAGCTGCAACCTGTAAGAAGAAATACAAGAGATTGTGCCCTATTATGGACTGTAGAATTTTGTTTAGGAACTTTAATTATTTCAAAGCACATATGTCAACCATGCACAAAGATGAATTTCCCTTTAAGTGTGAAGTATGCAATAAAGAATTTGAGCAGACCTCTGCATTGAATTCCCACAGAAACTCCCATTATAAAAGCACTCATCACATCCAGGCCGACGTACTCAACTCGGATAAACCAATGACTTGCCACGTCTGTAAGGAGCGATTCAGAAATAACAGAGAATTAAGAGCACACAAAGAATCAAAGCACGAAGTCAACAGAAGGTACATGTGTGATATTTGTGGTAAGAAGTACAAAAGGAAGGAAAATCTGAAAGACCACATTTTTATGGTACACAAGAGAGACCCTGCAAAGGACTTTGTATCTTGCCCAACCTGTGGAAAAGCTCTTGCCAATCAGAGATCTTTGAAGTTCCACTTACGATTTGCACATTCAGATGCCAAACCATGTGTCTGTGAAATTTGTGGATACAGTACTAAACAACTGGGGAACCTTGCTTTTCACATGAGAAACACGCACAGTGATGTCAGACCGTATGAATGTGAGTGGCCTGATTGTGGAAAAACATTTAAAGACCGGCAACTCTGGCAAAGACATTCACAAAGACATGAACTGAATGTGGGCAACCTGGAAAAAGCCAAAACATACGGACCAGTCTTTATGTGCAAGATCTGTCAGAAAGGATTCTGTGGCAAGTACAACCTGGAGAAACACATGCTGTGTCACACATCAGAATGTCCATTGTCTTGTCATTTATGTGGAAAAGGAGTAAAAAGGATGAGCAGTCTGCGTAGACACATGAGAAATGTCCACCATTTTGATCCCAAGACAAATACATCCATGGTCACTAAAACCGTTATCAGAAAGCCTAAAGCATTGATGAAGAAACAAAACGTGTCATTAGATTTAGCGTCAGCGACACTAGAAGAACAAGAATCCATAGAAGCAGACTTCAAAGATCTTACACAGATGGAGTATCAGTTTCACTCCGATGCTCAGCAGAAACTACAACAGATTCTGAACCCCATTGTAGATGTTCCCGTGACAACTATAGTGGCTGGGGAATCCCCACAGAAAGCGAGGGATTACCTCTCGGAGGCTCAGAGTCAGGTCAGCCTTCTGGAATGTTCAGCCAACACATCAGAAAACGTGATAGAGGAAGCAGTGGACGAGTCCCAGATCATCATAGAGAATGCCGGAGAGCAGTACATCATCATGAACCCCGACGGAAACATCTCTAATCTGGAACAACTCGGCAGGGATATCATACTGGCCGTCAAAAATGAGGATGGTTCTGTTTGTTTTCAAATGGTTGGAAAACAATGAAAAGAGAGAACTTTTTTTTTCTTTTATGTTATAATTAAATTAGTTAAGTAAAAATTGATTATCTTCTAGGTACATGTATCATGTATAACTATTTCTGGATAGTTTGCTGTGTAGCATTTTAGTATGATTTTCATGTTGATAATAAACTCTCTATCATAAAATTTGATATTTTCATCTCCATGAAATCCTTGTATCAAGCTCTTGCTCACAGGGGCCAGTAACATGCTAAATTTGATTTGATTTTATGTAATGACTATGTTACCTAAAATCAAATTTAGCATGTTACTGGCCCCTGTGCTATTGCTGTATCTAATAAAAATGAATTTTTTGTTTAAAGAAAAAAAAAAGACACAAAGATAATTGATTTGAGATTTTATGTTGTTAATTCCCATTTTGTTTAATATACAGTGTACATGTATTATCAGTAATGATTTTTTTTCTCTCAAATCAGTTTCAGACAATCCACCACTATCATACTTCATCAATTTTATGACATGACTCTTGTTTATACCCATTTCAAAGTTACTATATATATTCATGAAAGTATTGTCATACTAGTGATACATAAAATCTCAAATCAGAATCTCTTTGCCTTTTTTGAAACAAAAAAAAAAAGCATAATCATTTCGCTAAAAACCATGGCCCCAGGAGGTAGGATGGGGAACCTGAATTCCCTCTATCCAATAATGCTTCATGGCAAGTTTGATTAAATTTAGCACAGTAGTTCTGGAGATCTTGAAAATATGAAAAGTTTATTCTGTTGTCCATCTGTCTGTCCGTCTGAAAACTTTGCACATTTTTTACCCCTTCTCAAGAATGACTTAGCCTATTTCAACTAAACTTGCCATAAAGCATCTTTGGGTGAAAGGGGTTCAAGTTTGTTCAAAATAAGAACCACATCCCTTTTCAAGGGGAAATAATTGAGAAATAGTGAAAATACAAATGTATAGCTCAAAATTTTACCCTAAATAAGAAATCTTTTAACAATCTTCAAGCCATGAATGATGATAGTCATATTTATTATATGAAACCATCCTTAGGTACATGTAGCATAGATTCAAATTTGTTCACATCATGACCTAGGAGTAGGGAGATGCCAGGAATATAAATTAATCTTCTCAATACTGATCTGAGTTCTGTTTTACCAAATGCCCAGATGTTTCTTTTCAAAGTTATTGGTAACTTATATGGTTATTGTGAAGTCATTAGATCTTGACATCATAGTCTTATCTTCTTTATACTTCTTCCTTATGCAATTAATTAATCAAATCATGATCCCCTGGAGGCAGGCTGGAGCCCAAATCCAGGCATGGGGATTTACCCCGGGTTGTTACATGAGGCCGAAGGCCGAAGGGTGTAATACAACCCAAATACACCCTTGATTGAACCTGGATAACGAATTTATTTCCTTTGTACCCATAACAATGCTTTAGAGTGTGTCTCAACATATCGATTTGCTTTGTATTATAGAAAAACTATGCATTGTGACGTCACGTTTTATTTACACCCGGCTCAAGTCGGGTGCACGGATATTTACACCCGACTTTGTAACCAATCAAAGCTCGTGTTACAAGTTAGATAGGAAATAAAAAGTTTTACATGGGGACATACAAGAAAAATCTTTAAAATGCTTCTTTTGAACAGCAAAGCCATGTTTAGTCATATGTAAACAATTTAAGGTAGTATAAATTTAACTTTGTTCAAATCATGATCCCCACGGGTAGGGTACAGTCATGACACGTACTCTATAATTGCACTACATGTACCGCTATGTGGTGCATGTATTTATCAACTCTATTGGCATAAAGCCTTTAAGGGTCACCTATTCTGAATACAAAATACAATTTAAATACAATATTATTAAGTATTTTATTACAAATGTACTGTTACATAGCTATATTATGTACATGTATATTTATAACTTTTTAGAATATTGTATTTTACTGTCAGACTGAATTATGAAAATAAATAGTCTTGTAGTAGCCATCCTGTGGTGATATGTAAATAGTATACTGAGCAAATCCAAGCGTTCTGTAAAAATATATTTATGTTGAACCTTTTTTACACATAAAATTCTAAAGATCGGAAATAAATATTAACATGATAAACAATTCATTCTGTGCTGAAAACCCAAATTTTGCACCAGTGTCCTTTGACAGCTGCCTTTACTTTTAATAATTTGCATATTGTTCAATATTTAGACAACTGTCCATGAATTGTGACGACTTAATACCAAGCAATCATCTTACGTTACAAATACACATTTAGGACAATAATACTGGTGTCGTTTCTCTAGATACCAGTTATATTGCAGCAGAAATGAACACAAATGTTATATAATGAACACCAAGGGAATGGCCTTGAGCTTCACCCCACAGTCCTTAAGGCCAGGGTCCCTGTCACATTTACTGTTCCCTGCCTGATGTTTTACTTGCATGGTTTAACAAGTCTGGCCAGTGAACTTTTTCAAGACTTCTTCTGTCTCTGAAGAGCCAGACCCATTGCTAGGGCTTTTAAATCTATTTTGAAATTCTTCAAGTCACATTTTCCCTTTCCTGCAATGTCTGAGAGTAATGGCTGCTTGATGATGATTTTAGCAGGACATTTCTGGCTAGATTTGTCACTGGTGACTTTCTCATCTTTACTAATTGTGGCCTTGTTCTCTACAGCTGAGGACGGTGAAGGTGATTCTACAGCACGGTCATCCTTTATAACTGGTGTAGATGATTTTGATTCTGAAAGATGTACATCTGAATCTCCAGTAGACATTTTTGATTCTGTTGCAAGTTTGTCATTAGGGGTAGATTTCTTTGACTGGAGAATGAGTGTGTCTGATTTACTATTCATTGACTCCTTTGATTCTGTGGCTGGAATGTCAGCTATCCTAGGTTCAGACTTATCGGTGGATAGATCCTTTATTCTATGAGAAGATTTCTGTGATTTTGATTTGGGTTTATCACATACCTCTGAAACTGCCCTTTTCTTTGATTTCAAGGCAGCTTTTTCGGTTGTCTTCTTTGATTCTGTAGAAGTGAGTACCTTTGATTCTATTGTTTTCAGACTGCTTCCTTTCAGAGGAGATTTTTCCTGTTCTGATAAAGGTTTTTCAGTATTTTCACATGTTTCAGCAGTAGACTTTTTGAATTCTGGAGATTTGGCAATACTTTCAGGAGTAAGCTCCTTTGATTCTAATGTTTGTGTACTGCTTCTTTTCCTAGGAGATTTTTCTGCTCCCTTCCTAGGAGATTTTTCTGCTCCTTTCATGGGAGATTTTTCTGCTCCTTTCATGGGAGATTTTTCTGCTTCTTTCAGAGGAGATTTTTGCAGTTCTGAAGCAGGCCTTTCAGAATTATCAGCAGTTGACTTTTCTAGTTCTGGAGAATATTTAGCTATACTTTCAGGATTGAGCTCCTTTGATTCCAAGTTTTGTTTACTGCTTCCTTTCAGAGGAGATTTTTCCACTTCTCTAGCAGGCCTTGTAATCTTTTCAGCAATAGGCTTTTTCGATTTTGGAGATTTGGCTATATTTTTTGAGGTGAGTTCCTTTGATTCAGAGGTTTGTGTATTGCTTCCGTTCATAGATTTGTTCAGTTCTGAAGTAGGTATTTCAGTCTGTTTAATGATGGACTTTTTTGATTCTGACTGAGGTTTGGCTTTACTGTTAGGGGTGAGCTCCTTATCCTCAGGGATTTGCTTATTGCCTCCTTTCGTGGGAGATTTGTTCTGTTCTGAAGTAGGTTTTTCAGTCTGTTCAGTTATAGGTTTTTTAGTTAACTCAGAAGCAGCCTTCTCTTGAGATTTACCCAGGAGCTTAATAGTTTCATCTGGAATCTTTTCCAATTCTACAACCAAAGATTTCTTGAAGAGTCTAGATTTATCCCCTTTGTTAGGTGATTTTATTGGAAGTTGCATTGATTTAGTTGTGGATTTGCTTATGTCTTTTATTTTGATATTTTCACTGCATTTGCTTGGCGAGTTATCTGGACTCCTCACAGGTACCTGAGATGTTTCCTTTGCTATACCCACATCTGAACTTTGATTTAATGGTTTGAACTCGGAAATTTCTTTCACTGAATTCTTTTTTGAACTTTTTTCTACAGAAGTAACGTTTGATTGTTCCTTTGCTGAAGTTAATTGGGAAATTTCCTTCCCTGTAGCTACCTCTGAATTTCCCTTTGCTGAAGTTAATTCTGATCTTTCCTTTGTTGATGTTCCCTTTGTTCTGATGTTACCTTTGACCTTTCCTTTGCTAAAGTTACCTTTGACCTTTCCTTTGCTGATGTTCCCTCTGACCCTTTCTTTTCTGATGTTACCTTTGACCTTTCCTTTGCTACAGTTTCCTCTGAATTTTCCTTTGCTGAAGTAATCTTTTTAATTGCTACAGATTCATCTTCTTTTGTAGTTTCTGAGGTTGTTTCCAAGTGAGACAATCCAGATTCTATTTCCGGGTTTCTTCTGATTTTCTTTCTTGTGGGAGAACACTGTGGAGATCTGGAGATCTTTCTTTTCTTTTGTTCTGTAAACATAAGGTTTTCTTTCAGATGTTTAAGTTCACTTTAGGTTATGTATTCTTAACACAACTGCCTTAAAAATTCTTAGTATCATTAAAATTAGATTGTGATAAATTTATGCTACAAACAGTATAATGAAATTAGTTTTGCAATCTAATCAAAGAAGACCAAAAAAATTATTTATCATGAAAAGTAAAGCAAGTTCAATATCATAGAGCTTTTACACTGTCAATTTTAACATGGAACTGAATCAGCCATTGATAAAATTTATGAAAGATAACCTACTAGATACCTTTTTCAGTACCACTCATTCCCTTCCCCTTTTTCTTGAGACTGCCACCAGAGGTTTGGTCTACACTTGTCCCTCCTTCACTAGGAGTGTCCACTTCCATATCAACACCAGCATTAGGTGGGTTCTCAGAAGAGGCCTGATTTCCATGGAAAACCTGAGCAGTGTCTCCATCACCAGCTATGGCAGTTTCTGGACAGTCTTTAATCTTATCAGCTGTAGCATGGTTGTCTATATCTATGGCCTGATAGCTAGCATCACTGTTCAGATGTGGTGATTCCTGACATGACTCTCCATTAAGTTTTTGCTTCTTCCCTTGTGAACCACTTTGGTTGTTATTCAGAGTCTCACTGTCACTGGCTTTGACAGGAGAATCCACAAATGTGTCAACTGAATCCATCGGCTCTGAATGGTCTTCACTGTCAGTATGATCACCAGTGGCATCACAGGACACAGTTTCATTAGTCCCAGTTCCATATGCATTTAAATCTTTCTGTGTGGATGTGTTAAGGCCCGCCTGATTAGATTCATTGTCAACCTCTTTGGATTCACAACTGACATTCCTTGCTTCACTTTCAACTTTGGAGGCTACTGAATCAGAGGATAAATTCTGCATCTCATCATTTACAAGTGATTGCTGGCTATCTTTGATGGTCTGTGATGCTTCACCTGTTTGGTCTGGAGCATGCAGTCTGGATTTAACTGATGTCTGTTTAGATTCCACTGTCAAGTCAGGTTTTTCTGGTAATGTGATTTCAGTTTTCCTGCCTCCTCTTTGAATTTGGACTCTGATATTCTTAAGTCTCTCTTGCTTACGCTTTCCAGGGGAGGTGGAATCTGAAATCACAAGTCACAAAAATAGACATTCAAACAATACTGCAGAATTTATAAAATTATAAGACATTTGTTATTAGTCAGTTATGGACAGTGCCAATATATGTTCAGTACACAGGCCATGATCTATACAAAGAGGATGTGTACAAGTAACTTTGATAAATGATTTCTGAACAAATAAATTGTTAACTTGAATTTTTTTAAAATGGACAGATTTTTTAGACCTGCGGTGTAATTTTATATTGTCATAGTAAAGGTTCAATTATCTCTTACTTCACATCATCACCAATCTTTTTCACCAACGACCTTTGTTTAAAATATATACGCATGTATTACAGCAATTACCATCATTTCAGCTGTCAAAATCATGTCGACTTTCGCGGGATTTAAAACGAAAGTAGAATGGTTATGTGTACACATAACTTTGATTGCCTTTTAGGATAAACTTTACTTGCTGGTCTATTTGGGAGGTAATCCAGCTCTTTATTTGAATAATTTTTTCACAACTTTTTGCTATAGATAGTCATTGGGTAGTTTAATTTATATTAGCAAGTTAAGCCCAATGATTCTTAAGAAAAAACATTAAACATATAAAAAAAATTGCAATGATAGTTGAAAATTCTACAGAAGGGAAACAAACTTTCAACAAAATGATCATTTGAGTCCCCAAAACAAGCTACTTGAGCAAAGCAATTTGCATCAATCTTATACTTGAGTGAAATTACAATGTACCCAGCAAACCTGAAGAAAATTTTCTGGACTGGCATTCTTGATTTTCTATGTTAAAGACTGTAAAACTGCTGTCTTTCGCATTCAACATCACCTCCGTCTCTTCTTGGTCCACTTCAAAATCACTGTCTACCTCTTTGATACTAGTCACAGTGATAGCAGTTTTTGGTACGATAGGAAACCGTCGAAAAGAAGCTGGGGACTTGTCAGAGAGCCTGTATTCTGAGATCTGCTCCTGCACATCTGTTGAAAAACAAGGGCAATCAAACACTGTCATTATTGTACAACAATAATAACAAGAGGCCAATGGGCCACATCGCTCACCTGTATAACTTTGGTCCTGCTGTTCTTTGCAAGATATTCCATATTGTCATACTAACTGTGGCCCCATCCTAAAGGTGAGGGTCATGATTTGATGAATTAAAATAAACACTACCTTTGAAGGCTTCAACATAAGTTTCAGCTTTTTTTTTTTTGAGAAGAGGATATATAGATTTTTTTTTCTATATATCAGTGTAAAACTTTGATTTTCTACTGTGGCCCCACCCTATTCACAGGGGCCATCCTTTGAATAATTTAGAATCTACACAACCCAAGGATGCATACGTATAAGTTTCAGCTTCTCTGGGCCAGTGGTTTCTTGAAAAGGAAGATTTTTAAAGATTTTTCCTACATACATGTATTTCAATGAACTGTGGAAATCAGTATCTTAAATTTGAAGGGGATCAGCAAAAACGTTGAGAAATCCAGGGGTTCAAGATATCCAACGCCGTCTTCCAATTTGGAATCAATAACTTCCTGAATGTTCACATATATATTTTTAATGACCTCATCCTATTTTTGTCTTTACTTCATTATCTCCCTTTGTAAAGGGGCAAGTACAATTTAGAATCCCATTCAGCCAAGGATTCTTTGTAAATGTACTATTTTTGGTTTAAATTGGCCTAGTGGTTCTTGAGAAATTGAAAATGTGAAGTTTACACATGGACAGAGAGAAAGATGGACAAAAGGTGATCAGAAAAGCTCACTCTAGCTTTAAGCTCAGGTGAGCTAAAACATATTTATGAATATCACATGCTCCCTTGTGAATCTAAAAAGTTTCATTAATGTTCATCTGTTCATAGTTTTTAAATACATGAACTGATACATACGAGGGTTGTCTGTAAAGTTCGTGGACAACATTAATAATTACTGACAAGCATTTATGAAGTATATGAAACTATTATTTTCATTAATTTCGTGTTATTATTATGCAAGTTTTAAACAAAAACAAAGCACAAATACCGTAGTTATATTTTTATCGGATACAAAAACATAGGTAATCAGAGATTACAGAGCTCACCTCAACGAATGTTGTCTTTTAAGGCAAATGTCACACAATTAACCAACAAAAAGTGTACATCCAAAAATGCAAAATTTATGCAATTTTGATACTTTGGAATAGACCTATATAAAAACTTAAAACTAGTTCTTCATCGTGAAAATGTAATTAAAATCCAGCATCTGAAGCAAGATTGAGAGTTTTCATCCCTCGATGCATCATTTGTGCAACTTTGGTTTATATAAGCCTTATAGTTTCTTGGTGATAGACCTGCACCCATAACTTTTACGAGGTCTATTATCTGGAAAATGTATGTCAAATTCAGCATCTGAAGCAAGTCCATTAGTGTGCATCCTAAGATGTATCATCCATGCAAGTTTGTTCAACATAGAGCTCAAAGTTACTTGGAAATGAAACCTGTATAAAAAAACTAACCTTTTCACTAATCCGGAAAATGTAGGTCAGATTCAGCTTCTGAAGCCAGCCTAGTAGAATGCACCCTTAGATGTACCATCCATGCAAGTTTGGTCATTATAGGGCTCAAAGTTACTTGGAAATGAATCCTGCACCATAAACTTTAACCTGTTTACTCGTCCAGAAAATGTAGGTCAGATTCAGCATCCGAAGCAAGTCTGGTAGTATGCATCCTAAGATGTACCATCCAGGCAAGTTTAGTCATTATAGGGTTCATAGTACATGTACCTTGGAAATGAAACCTGCACCAAAAATTTTAACCTGTTCACTCAACCGGAAAATGTAGGTCAGATTCAGCATCCGAAGCAAGTCTTGTAATATGCATCCTAAGATGTACCATCCATGCAAGTTTGGTCATTATGTCTCATAGTAACTTGGAAATGAAACCTGCACCAAAAACTTTAACCTGCTCACTCAACCGGAAAATGTAGTCAGATTCAGCATCCGAAGCAAGACTGGTAGTATGCATCCTAAGATGTACCATCCATGCAAGTTTGGTCATTATATGTCTCATAGAAACTTGGAAATGAAACCTGCACCAAAAACTTTAACCTGTTCACTCAACCGGAAAATGTAGGTCAGATTCAGCATCCGAAGCAAGTCTAGTAGAATGCATCCTAAGACGTACCATCCATGCAAGTTTGGTCATTATAGGGCTCATAGTATCTTCGAAATGAAACCTGCACCAAAAACTTTAACCTGTTCACTCAACCGGAAAATGTAGGTCAGATTCAGCATCCGAAGCAAGTCTGGTAGTATGCATCCTAAGATGTACCATCCATGTAAGTTTGGTCAACATAGGGCTTATAGTTACTCGGAAATGAGACCTACACCAAAAACTGCACCAAAAATGTTAACCTGCACCAAAAACATTAACCTGGTCATTCCTTTGCTGAAATTGCAGCATCTGAAACTTTGACTGGTACAGTGAAACACATTAGAAACATCTTCCATGCATGTCTAATCAATATAGGACATAGAAGTACTTAAAAAGAAAACTGCTCCAAAAAACTTAACCTTAACCCGGGACGCCGACACCGACGCCGACTCCGAGGGTATCACATAAGCTCCCCCCAACTTCGTTGAGGTGAGCTAAAAAGACACGAACTCATACCCGGAGCACCAAAAACGAAAATCCTTGACGTAACGACTTAAAAAGCTTAAAATGCAACTTTTATCAACATAGTGTCCATTTATTTCATTACTGTAACATTTTTTAATACGCTTTAATCAGCCATCAAGGATGTGCACAAACTATTCAGGTTTCATATGTAAAATAATATTTAACAATTCCTGTCAAAGATCCTGCAAATCATGAAACCTCTGTCTGCGTAAAAAACTATGTTATTTACAGCAATAAGACATAGTCACGTTACGAAATTCATTTTTTTCAGCACTGCAATCTCGGAATGTTGGTTTTTCTTCGCGCATATCATCCTGTTAACTGTTTCCTTCTGTCAAAAATCTTATATGTCTTTTGAATACTAAAGAACAGCTTCCTTTGCTATGTTTTCCCGACTATTTACAGAATTCATGGGTCTCTGTTGGTGTATTTTCGACGTCTAGGCAGAATTTTATCACTGCTCTCTGCTCCACCTTTTCCGAAAACGTCCCTTTTCGAAACAATGCCAATCCTGTCTTAATAGATTCTAACCTTGATTTCTCGGCCATTTTCAAAACTTTGAATGTTCAAATTTTGCAAGTTTAATGTTATAAGTTTTGTCAACCTCATAATGTAAAAGCTATCCTAATTTCTGCGAAATTTTACAAAATACAAATGAAATTTATTGAATGATAAATAACTTTTTATTTAAAATTTTGGGGTGCTCCGCGTCATCGTCCCAAGTCTAATAATGAAGCCATAATTGTAATTATACATTTGAAGTTGAATATAATTTTACATTTGGTAATTCAAATTTAGTGAAGGATTTTAAATATGCTAATAATAAATATCAATTACACAACTTTTATTTAAATTTATAAGCCTGTCCTTGAACTTTACGGACAACCCTTGTACAAAGCTAGCATGAATAAGACTACAGAAAAGAAATTGAAAAGCAATAAATAATCACCAAAGCAGTATTTGTGAAACTGTTCAGCTATTTGCCGATTCAATGACAGGAATTTTTTTCCTTTTTCTGAGCCCGTTACATGAAGGGAAGCTCCATCTGCTGTCATCAATAAGCTTTCTTCTCCATGTTCTGTCAGCTTCAGCAGCTATTCAAAAACATAAACAACCGTTTACTGGCTAAGATTCCATAGACAAGATTTTAAAACTAAGTATTCTACATGTACGGGGGGGTGGAAATATATTGTGGTGTAAATATTTGCAATTTTCAGTGTATTAAAATGAAGAATTAAGAAATAGTGAATAAGTTTTCAATTAAACATTTTGTTTCTTTTTTTGGAAATTAGTATTAATTGTTACCGATGAATACCCTGGTATAACATCTAACTGAATGGTACATTCATGAATAAATCAAAATTAGCTGCACTAAAAATATAAGTACTGTATTAAAAGGGAGAGGAGATGATACCAGTTGATGTGTTATGCTTGAATTTTTTTCAATTTATACCTATACATACCAGCTCATCGATGTTCCTGATAATCAAATCTCTGGAACTCACTGCACTATCCATCTCAGTCTGAAAAAAGTATTAATCTACTGAAAAGCTACAAACAACAGAATCATTGGTGCTTTGGTTTTTAAAATACTTTAGTCATATTAGATTAAGGGTTGTCAAATCTATTTGACAACACTTAATCTAATATGACTAAAGTTATCTATGAGGTTTGAATGGAGCGTAGCGGAGTCAGCCTGGGATTGCCATGAATTGCAGTTATAACTCTTACCTAATATTTTGTCTCCTTGAAATACTTTATACTTTAAGTTCCAAAAGGTTTTAGGTTATATAAAGCAAATTGTTTGTAACTACAGTTACTTCTTGAATGAATTCAAAAAGGAGGTTAATTTTGATTGGTCAGAAGAAAATTTATTCGTAATAATATTCAGTGTGAAGCAATCATACTTATCCATGCCTCATTCATGCACACAATATGGTGTATATAGATATCCCAACAATTGAAAAGCAATTTAAAAGGGACACTTACAAATTTAGAACTATTCTTTATATGGGTTGTTTTTTGTTTTGTTTTTTTTTTGATAGGTCATAGCAGATAACCAGGTCCAGCACAATACCCTGATAAAGCAGTGTTTTCCCTAAGAATCGGCTACCGGCCAAATTGACCATTTCAATTGACAAAAATGCCGCTTCGAAATAAAAATTTGCTGTTAGGTCCACTGAGATTTTGTTCATGAACCTCAGCCCCTAGCCTGTTACAAGTTATCTCTAACCCTTTACTTTGAAATAAAGGGAAAACACTGGATAAAGGTACAGTGGATTCCATTTAATCAGATAGTGGTTAAACGAATATTTCGGCTAATCTGATACAATATCAGAGCACAAAACCATTTCTTATATATTTATTAATAATTTCATCTGATAGAGAAAATAGCGGAGTCGTTTTATCTGATACAAAAATTGCCTATCATAGTGATTTTCATAATAACTCTTCACATCAACCTCTGTATGTAAATCCTTTGTTTACACAAGTTTGACAAGATACTTTATACTTTAACCTGTGTTTGGGCACACAAAAGATAATTTGATGACCGGCTTGGGTGTTAATTTAGATATATAATTGGCTTGTGTGCAGTTTTGTTTGGCAAATTTTAATTATTGAACTGTTCAGAATATGACACTTCGCTTGGACATTAAATTAAAATAATCAGAATTCAACTGTCTATTAAATGGTAGCGCTTGGTCATTTAGTTGAATATGTGTTCACTTTTAAGTGCAATTTTAAGAATTAAAACACATGCACTCCGTATAAATATACATCTGAAAATTAAATCCATCAATGAAAGTGACATAACATACAAGTATAGATGAAACAATAAACTTTATTTATTTATTAATCCGTAATATAGTCATGTATTCCTTCCGTTTTTCCAAAATGGATCCACACAATATGCCTGTACTAACAAGATTTATAGAGATGGAAATAAGTTTTATACTTCAATTAAAAACAAATTAATACAAAATCACATTGAACTTGTTATTAAATATTTGAAATAAAACTTGGTACATTCATCGAATGAAAACAAATACAGGAACTAATACAACCTTGTTATATTGTTACTTGTGTACTTTTTTTTTTTTGATAGGTCAAAGCAGATAACTAGGTCCAGCACAATGCCCTGATACAGGTATATAGCTTGATATAAAGTTGATAAAGCTACAGTAAAACTCGTTTAGTGCGAAAACGTATATTGTGAATTTACTGATATAGCAAAGTTATTTTTGATCCCCAGCTATATGAATTTAACAGATTCCTTATACGGATATGAATTACGGATATAGCGAAGTAATTTCACAGTTCCCAGCAACTTCGTTATAACTGAGTTTTACTGTACATAGCTTTATCAAGGTATTACAAATACCTTAATCAAGGTATTTAATATGTAATGAAAATTCAAAAAAATTCTTAAAAAATTAAATACTGAAAACCAAGTTCTGAGTTGTTGTCAGTAAATTCACTCATGCATATAAATTACTCAAACACAAATAAATCAGTATTAAAAAAAATGCCGTGTGACTGTGAGGAGATGTTCTTTCATGCTGTCTTTTTGATACCAGAGTGCTTTTCATGCACAGCTGGACACACTGACCACAACTCATAATTTGACTTTTAAATTAATTTTTTAAAGAATTTATTTTGTATTTTCTTCACGTAAAATACCTTGATCAAGGTATATGTAATACCTTGATAAAGCTATATAGCTTTTTATCAAGCTATATTTACATCCACTGAATACTTTCTCCCTTATTTCTTAAAAGAACCCATTGCTGTTAATCAGTGCATGAACACTATATGCAAGCCACGTGCATAGATTTCTTGAACAGTGGCTGTTCCATCAGTTATGAATATAATTACATATTCATCTTAAATATACTATTTAAACAAATTTAGTTTTACTTTGATTTTTAATACAGATGTAAATATAAACAATAAAATGCTTTCTTTGTTAGTATGGTAATTAACGTCACAGTTATTGCAGAAAAAAATACATAACCTGCTGCAGGTTATGTATTTTTACTGCAACAGCTGTGATATTAATTCCCATACTAACAACCAAAGAAAGCATTTTATTATTTAAATTTACCTTTCTCAGGGTACAATGCTGGACCTGTTAACATGCATAAAAAGTGAAATTCATGCCATTTTTGCCTCTTTCTTATATGTTTTTGGTTGAAAAATGCATAAAAATAGCTTTATTAAGATATCCTGTACACATTAATGAAGCTGATCCAAGCTTTTAAATCAAGAGATTGTGTGAGTGTGCTGCCTGCTGGACAACTATTGTTGCACAAGTAGACAACCATTTAAAAAGCTACAATGTACCAGACCTGTTTAAATACCGTTCATTGAAAGGTCATGGGGTCTATCTGATGATCACAACCCGTGGATTCAACCTGTCGTGATGCAGTTCATAAAAATGCATAATATTGTGGATTTCTCAGACTCATACGCAGTGAGAGATGCGTTTAATAATTGTTAACCCGTACATATGTTAGTTTGTAAGATACCACTTTCGTTGAATAACTGAGCGGCAAGTTTTTGTTTCACAGTCGACGACCAATAATTTGTAAGATGGGTTTGGCTTTTTTATTCTTTCTACATAAAACAATAGTATATTTCATTTTTTTTTTAATTCTCAAACTTTATATGAATATTTTATGTACAACTTACTGATATAGTCTCCAGATATCAACGGGAAGGTATCAAAATTCAATAAATTTTACTCCCATTTTTAATATATCACAAAGTCCTAGCATATTGCCCGTTGAAAAGCTGTGTTGTGTTATCATGACAGTATAATCCAATGTATTTGTATAACACTAATGGGTATATGATTTTGAGGAATCTGACTTGCCATCAAAGTGCATTTCATCTCTTGAATCGCCCCCAATTCTGAGGAGGAAGTGGATGCGTGTTTTACTTTCGTCTTAAAAAAACCTGCATGGTTTCCTGGCGCTGACAAATGCCGTTTTTTCTATGGAAGCGTCCAAGAATCATTGTCCTTGCTGTAATTGCTGCTGGGATTTTCATGACATTCCAATTCTTTTCTTTGGAAGCCTTGTTTTATGCACAAAAAAGAGTGGCTGTGAAGTCTTACAGTTCCAGAAATGAGAATGAAAGAGAGGAAAAGTTGGTGAAGGAATTCAACTATGAAGATGTTGTGACAGCTAATTTAAAAGAATCGAATGACATTAAACATCTTTTAAAAACTCCAAGAGGAGTCCATAAAGATGACAAGCATTTATATACAGTAGTTCGAAAGGATGACAATGAGATGTTCAGGTGTGTCAAGTCGGGAAGACTGATTCCTTATTCCTGGATAAATGATGATTATTGTGACTGTGAGGATTCCAGTGACGAGCCTGGAACATCGGCCTGTCCTAACGGTAGATTCTACTGCACGCTTCAGCTGCCAGACCAGAAGGCAGTCAGTCTACCGTCCAGTGGTGTGAATGACGGAATTTGTGATTGCTGCGACGGTAGCGACGAATGGGCAGGAAGGGCACCACCAAAGTCAATGAGGCATCAGGGTAAAAACATAGTCCTACAAGCTCCGTGCCAAAACCACTGTGATACCATTGCAAAAATCAGCAAAGAAAATGAACAGATCAGAAAAATGGGACAGAGATTAAAAAGAAGCTATCTTTTAGCTGCTCAGTCACTGAGGGATAGAGAAGTGTATGGACCAGAGGGGGTGTTTTACAAATTGAGTCTGAACTGTTTTTCACATCAAGTTCATCCATACGAATACAAAGTTTGTCCATTCCAAAAAGTTACTCAGGAACAGTTTCCCTCACAGCAGTGGTCCCTGGGCAGGAAGGCTGCCTGGAAACAGAAGTCACACGGTCAGTTCCTGCTGGAGATGTCGGGAGGGGACGCTGTAAATTGTCCTGGGAGAGGCAGGCAGTCACTGATTCTATTTCTCTGTGGCATCACTGACCGTGTTGTGGAATTAAGAGAAGACCAGCGTTGTGAATATCTTATTAAATTTGCCACCCCAGCAGCATGTTAATTATGTTATTTAAGGTTTATCAGACAATCAGTTATTATACATGTAGTATGTATTCACAGGGGGTGGTATAAAACATACTACTGTAAATCACTTTTTATGTAATTACACGAAAATTTTAATCACTTTATATTCCTTAGGATTATTAGAGCAAGAACCACAATTGTATATATAAATTTAAAGTGAAATATATGATTTTAAAATCAATATAATATAGTATATAAATTTTATTGTAAAATCAAATATGTATGTACTGGCCCGTGTATTATATATTTTTTAAGAGTACATTTATATAATAATGTAAACATGTTCCTGGTACTCCATATTGTAATGCAAAGGTTGCACATTTACTTGTATTACTTAGAAACAATTATACCAGAACTGCTGAATGTAATTTAATTGATAATATATTATTGCGTATAATATTAAGGACATAATGGAGAAGTTAAATATAAATTGGACATTTAATATACAGTTGAACTTTGTTATTTCAAACAATGATAACACTCGGTACACTTCGGCTGATTTGTACCTCATGTTTCATGAAGTTTTTCTGAATGTGTCATCAAATTCCATGGATACGTTGTTATCCCAAGCAACCTTTTCTTTAGGCATTTCCAAGTTTTTTTTTCTAAATTAAGCGTCCTCTTGCACCTGAGTTTTTTTTACACCTAACATCAGAAAAAAGAAACAAAATACTTGTAAATTGAAGTCTTTAAATTGATTATTCTATTGCAAATCTTTGATTATTATCTTTTTCTGTAATAACCTGCCTACACTTTGTCCTATTTAATAATAATAGGTATATTATAGTATTTAATATCATGATTTTGCTTTAAAAAAGTCTTTAAAAAACAAAACAAAATTCTATGAAATCAAATGATGTCAATTTTATGACTATTAAAGGCTTTGTTTTACTTTTTTTGATTTGTTTATTATTTTTTTTTCTTTGCGAATAGGTATAGGAGTGTTTTTGAAAGATGGGTGAATGCTAAACAAGAAAAAAACTTGGAATGGCCTTATGTGGATTTCTATAATTCTTGAATATCTCAGATCAATTTAGATTGAGATACTAGTAATGAGGTAATAATTGTATTTCATATCCAGATGGTTCCCAATGACACTTCTAAGAAAAGTAATTGAACCGATATAGACATTAAATCATCTGATCAGCTGAACTGAAATATATACATGTACATGTAATTGCTTGAGCTTCACTGTGAAAAATTATTTCATTTGAATTCATGAGAATTATTCCTGTGCATTGTTTTAAAGTTTCAGAAATGTATTTTTTATATAAACCTCTGAGTTGAGATGTATTGCTCAGTTATAGGGTACATAAAGTAACATTTAGACTATACAGTCATGTTTCAAAAAAGATAAAAATGGAAATGTTTTCTTTATTTTATAAATATGCTGTTACATATTCTGCAGAAAATCCTGGGATAGGGTTTGGTCATAATATGGGATCAAAATTTTATACTGCATAAAAATTCTTTTCATTTAGGTACTTGTTCTCCCCAAGATTTTTGCCCATCAGGTCAAGCAAAATCATTTGAAAAGAAAATGTTCCTTCAAGTTGAAGGCCCTGTTAAAAAGTGTGATGTACATGTAATAATGCAAAATGTAATAAACCTAGTGAGTAGCATCGTTTTTGAAAGGGGACAGAGAAAAAATTTCAACCTACCTGAAAAATAACTTGACAAGAAAAGAAGATGGGACTGCACAAACTCGAAAATCCTATTTCATGGGGGTTGGGGGTGGAAGGGGTAGGTTCAACTTCTTTCAATACCAATTTTTCTCCCTAATATACCGGTACCACAGGCACCTGACGTTACTTATTTTTCTTTTAATAAAAAAAATATATACCCTTACCTAATAATTAGGTAAGGATATATTTTTTTTTTATTAAAAGAAAAATAAGTAACGTCAGGTGCCTGTGACCGGTACTACATAAACCTTATTTGACCCCTACTCTTACAAAAAGTATAAAGGGGCATGAATATTCTCAATGCTAAAAAGTTAAGTTTGGAGAAAGTGGGAGGGGGAGGACAGCCCCCCCCCCCAGCCCCTCCCCCGGCCACCATGTTTGCTATGTGCCTGAAACCGGACATATTACATTTTTTTGTCGAGATCATCGTAGAATGTAATAGCGGAAAATGTAAAAACATTTAGGATTATGCAATAGATTTAACAATTATTTTAAAATTTGTGTTGAGATCTACGAAAGCCTATAAGGATCAATCTAGAGAAAAAAAAATTAAAAGGCATTATAACGCCTTTCGAAAAGGCGTAATAACGCGAAAAAAGGCATTATAACGCCTTTTGAAAAGGCGTTATTATGCCTTTCCATTCCAAAAGGCGTTATTACGCCTGTCTAAAAGGCGTTATAACGCCTTTCTAAAAGGCGCTATTACGCCTTTCCATTCTAGAAGGCGTTATTACAAATACGCTTTTCCAAAAGGCATTATTACGCCTTTCCAAAAGGCGTTATTACACCTTTCGAAAAGGCATTATAACGCCTTTTTAGGTCACCTGAGTAAACTCAGGTGACCTATTGCTATCACTTTTCGTCCGTCGTCGTTCGTCGTGCGTTAACATTTGAACATTTTCAGCTTCTTCTCTGAAACCACTGAACCAATTTTAACCAAATTTGGCATATAGCATCTATGGGTGAAGGGGAACAAAAATTGTGAATTTCATGGGCCCTGCTCCCCTGGGGCCTGGGGGGTGGGGCAAAAACCACTAAAATTAGTGCAATCTTTAAAAATCTTCTTAAAATAAATATATACTCCTGGACATCAAGCAGTCAAACTGTTTGCATGATTGTAATCAGCATTGAGTCCTCTACCAAAATTTTGAAATTCATGGCCCCGGGGTCAGGGGTTCTGGTGTTAGGGTGGGGCTAAAAAGTATATAGTGAAATTTCATGAATTCTTTGAAAATCTTTTCTCTGCTCCTGGGTATTAAATAAACTAACTAAGTGCATAGTTATGATGAGCAAGAGTGCCTCTACCAAAATTGTGAATTTTATGGCCCCAGGGTCAGGGGTAATAGGGTGGGGCTCTATACATTTATATAGTGAAAATACATAAATTCTTTGAAAATCTTCTTCTCTGCTCCTGGGTATTAAATAAACTAACTAAGTGCATAATTATGATGAGCAAAAGTGCCTCTACCAAAATTGTGAATTTTAAAAGGGTCAGGGGTTTGGTGTTAGGGTCTGGCTCTATAGATTATATAGTGAAATTTCATGAATTCTTTGAAAATCTTCTTCTCTGCTCCTGGGTATTAAATAAACTAACTAAGTGCATAGTTATGATGAGCAATAATGCCTCTACCAAAAGTGAATTTTATGGCCCCAGGGTCAGGGGTTCTGGTGTATTAAGCCCTTTATAGATTACATAGTGAAAATACTTGAATTCTTTGAAAATCTTCTTCTCTGCTCCTGGGTAATAAATAAACTAAATAAGTGCATAGTTATGATGAGCAAGAGTGTCTCTACCAAAATTGTGAACCTATGGCCCCAGGGTCATAAATTTCTGGTGTAAGGGAGGGGGGCTCTATAGAATATATAGTGAAAATACATGAATTATTTGAAAATCTTATTCTCTGCTCCTGGGTATTGAATTAACTAACTAAGTGCTTTGTTATGATGACAAGTAGTGCCTCTACCAAAATTGTGAATTTCATTATGGCCCCAGGGTCATAGGGGTTTGGTGTGGGGGGGGGGGGAGCTCTTTAGATTATATAGTGAAAATACATAAATTCTTTGAAAATCTTCTTCTCTGCTTCTGGGTATTAAATAAACTAAATAAGTGCATAGTTATGATGAGCAAGAGTGCCTCTTCCAAAATTGTGAATTTTATGGCCCCAGGGTCAGGGATTCTAGTGATAGGGTGGGGCTTTATTGATTATACAATGAAAATACACTAAATCCCGTACTTTCAAAGTTTTTTCTCTGCTCCTTGGTAAAGCAGATGAACTACCTATTAGTTTGATTGAAGGGTCCTAATCTTCCAGAATTGTGAATTTCAAGGCCCCAGGGTCAGGGGTACCATAAAAGACATATCTTTGCTGTTAATTATATACTGAAACTGGATGAATTGTTTGAAATCTGCTTATTGGTATTTATCAAATATTTTTGAAAAGCAAGGGTGCCTTTTCAAAAATTGTGCAATGTGTGGATCTAGGTCTAAGGGTCAGGGGTTCATGTGTGATTGGGGCATTACTGATCATGCTGAATATTACCGATTACTTGAACTGCATTTTTTGTTACCCTACCCTGCCTATGGGTATTAAGTAAAAAAACTAAGCAACTGCTAAGTGTATTGTTATGATGATCAATTGGTGCCATTATTTCAAAATTGTGAATGCCATAGCATCTGGATTAAAACATGAATCAAATTCAATCACTGGAAAGTTGTTGCATAATGCTCAGGTGACCTATAAGGCCCATGGGCCTCTTGTTAAAAGGCGTTATTACGCCTTTTACTTTCAATACATAACTAAACATATTTAGTCCAACAGAGGGGGGGGGGGTGTATGCAGAAATCGTACCTTTGGGACATAAATTTCACAATTAGATATAGGACTAATTTCTCAAAAAATAATTTAAACAGATAGCAATTAGATTTCCAGGAAAAAAGATTATTAAATGCGTCATATATTTTCAATGTTGAACCAACTAAGTCCTTCTTTCATACCAGGCACACCTCTACCAAGGGTCATTGATTTCAATTGCTCATTTTACCCATGCAAATAGTTGCCTTTTTTTCCAAGAAGAGAGAAAAATATCTTTCAATGACATAAATTTTAATACACTGTACATGGCAAGCAAAGCTCCAAGACAAGTCTGCCTATATTTTAGATCTTCACAAGTTTGTCTTCTCTTAATACGAATGCAAACAGTTGTCAGTGAGATGTGCATAAATAAAGATGGTTTTAATTAAGTCTTTCTATATTTATTAACATAAGATAATGCCTTTTCCTTTTCCTTTTCATGTAGGCCTGTAATACGAGTGCGAATGGGGTAAACCCCCTCCAAACACACACTTTTGAGGAAAAGTCTTGCTACAGTTTAAATA